GCCTGCAGGGTCCACAGGGCAAAGGGAGGGGAGCAGAACGGAGCTGATCTGGAGAAGATCTGGGGCCCGGCATGGAGGGAATGTGCACATTCTCTCCTCTCCTGGGCACCAGACAAATCCTGGGGCCAGGCACATCCACATCAGAATCTAGGCAGCCCCGGGTGCCAGCAGCCAAGACTCCACGGCGGCTGCCACTGGCTGAGGCCATGTCTGCCCTGGCCAGGCGGCCTGGGAGAGAAGTGGAAAAACTCACTGCATGGCAGGAGTGCCAGGCCACTGGCCCAGCCAGACCCAGGCTCCCCGGCAGCGACGCTCAGGGCCGGCCAAGTGAGGGGTGATCCTGGGGCGCCACGGAGCCTCCCCAATCCCTCCCAAGGCGGCAGTGTCCTGGGGTAAGGGGACGTAGGCACCTTGGCCTTGCTGTAAGAAAGAAACTGGCAGGGTTTTTGTGGAGAGCCGTTTTGCTGTCTGGAAGGAGAGAGCCTGCACTTATTGAGTACCTACAGCATGCAGCCAAGGCAGACTGCCTGGCTTGTGTCTGCTGGTCCTGGAGACTCCCAACTCTCTCACCCCTCTCATAGCAAGAGCCAGATGGGACAGCAGTGCCCGGATGTAGACTATGGGGGCTGCAGGCATCTCCTGAGCAGGCCGGATTCCGGGCCTGGGTGCCAGAGGCCGAGGGCCCCGCAGTCCTCCCTCACCACGCTGCCCCTGGGGAGTAGCTGGGGCTCCTCCCTCCCCACGTGACCCCTTCCCCCCAAACGCCGTGCTTCCCCTCCAAGGGTGGAAGCCTGCCCAGCAGAGGAAAATCCAGACAGCAGCAGGCCAGACAGGGCGAGACAGGGTGGTGACTGGACTGGGGCTGGGACACTCGCCTCTGCCCAGGCTGCCTGCTGGCCCCATCACAGCTGGGTGGGTGGAGACAGCACCAGCCATGAGTTCAAGGCTGGTTCAGGTTCAAGGCTGCCAGCTTAGACGACTAACTGGGCAAGTCACGGCTGCTGGTCCTGGGGTCTGGAAAAAGCACTCAGCGTCACCAGGCACACCTGGGAACACCCGCCCCACTAAGCCACCTCCTCGAAGCCCCGCCTCCTCTGCTTACAGAACTGCCAACACCAAGAAGTCACTGCAAAAGGTCTCTGGGCTGCAGAAAGGAGGTTTGCAAGGGCCTGCGTTAGACTGTGTGGCTTCTCTTACAGCCTATTGTTTTCAAGGATTTATTTATTTATTTTTTTGAAAGGCAGAGTTACAGAGTAGGGGGTGGGGAGACAGAGAGAGATCTTCCATCTGCTGGTTGACTCCCCAAATGGCTGCCATTGGCTATGGCTGGACCAGTCCAAAGCCAGGAGCCAGGAGCTTCTTCCGGGTCTCCCACGTGGGTGCAGGAGCCCAAGCACTTGGACCATCCTCCACTGCTTTCCCAGGTGCATTAGCAGGAGGCTGGATTGGAAGTAGAGCAGCCGGGACTCGACCCAGTGTCTATGTGCCGCAAGGCCAGCCCTCTTACAGGCCGTTAGCTTGTACTTTACACACATGTCAGATGGATTCTGCTCCCTGATTTCCCATGTGAGGGCAGTTTAGAAACAGAAGCGAGGAAGCACAGATGAAATTGGGAAAATCATAAAAAGCAGACACAAGACCTTGAAGAATGAAAGTGTCAGGAGCTGCTTGTCACGGGGAAGTAAGCTCGCTCCCTCTGCCCCGACTGCAAGCCTGCTGGGCTGAGACAGGGAGGCAGCGCGCCCTCTGCTCCTGACAGTTTTCCTTCTCTTTTCTCCTCTTCGTTCCATGAAGAAATTAACTTACTAAAAGGCATATAATAAAATTGAATTAAAATATCATAACCAGGGGTGGACATTCGGTACAGTGGTTAAGATGTCAGTAAGGGGGCCAGAGCTGTGGTGTAGCAGATAAAGCCACTGCCTGCAGTGCTGGCATCCCATATGGGTGCCGGTTCGAGTCCCGGTTGCTCCACTTCCGGTCCAGCTGTCTGCTAATGCACCTGGGAAAGCAGCGGAGGACGGCCCAAGTGCATGGGCCCCTGCACCCACGTGGGAGACCAGGAAGAAGCTCCTGGCTCCTGGCTTTGTCTTGGCCCAGCCCTGACCGTTGTGACCATTTGAGGAGTGAACCAGCAGAGGGAAGACTTCTCTCTCTCTCTGCCTCTCCCCACTCTGCCTTTCAAATAAATAAATACACCTTTTAAAAAAACGATGCCACCAAGGACATCCCCTTCGGGCGGCCCCCCACCTCCTGCCCACCAGAGTGTCTGGGCTGCAGTCCTGACTCTCCTTCCTGCTAATGCGCACCCAGGGAGGCAACAGGTGATGGAGGGCTCAAGTACCTGGCCCCCTGCCACACACGTGGGAGCCCCGAATGGAATTTCTGGCTCCTGCTTTCCACCTGGCTCAGCCCCTGCTGCTGTGTGTATTTCGGGAATGAACCAGCAAAAGGAAGCCCTCTGTCTCTGTCTCTCTGCCTTTCAAATAAAATGAAAATAAACCCCAACACGTCTGAACCAGGAAAACCAGCATCCAGCTAGGAGGTCCGGAGACCAGTGTGGCCACAGCCCGTCCCGGGTCGGGCCCAGGCTTTGCGATCAACTTCCCCAGCAGCTCTGCACGACCACGGGAGGTGGGGGGCTGAGTGTGAGAGAGCGGCGATGGGCAGCAACGGGCCCAGGAAGTGCAACTGAGCAACCAGCAACTGCCCGCTGGCTGCCTCTCCACTCCCCCGGGCCTCTCGCAGCTCTGAGCTCCCACAGTCGGCACCGGCACCAGCACCGGCACTAGCACCAAGACCTTTGCTTTCAGGGGCTGCCACAAAGCCTCAGACCACTGGCCCACCTCTGACCCTGCATCTGGCGTGGCCCCTGGGCTCATCCTCTAACCTCCCCCCCCCCCCGCCCCCCGCTCCCACACTCCCTTGTGGGCTGTCCTTGCTAGCTCTCTTGTAACCAGAGCACCCCCAAGAACAAAGAGCCCCCCAGTCTCTGCCAGAACGGAGTTCCTTGCCAGCGCTGCGCTCCCGGGATCATGGGAACCGATTCCTGCCGGCTACAGGTGCAAAAGCAGAGGTCCAGGGAAGGAGAGAAGTGAACCCAGCCTGGGGTGGGGGCGGGCTGAGGACTGGAGGCCAGCCTTCCTGGGGACAGCAGCCTCTTCCCCGGGCTCCCGGGCGCAGCAGGGTCCCCAGCCCTCGCCAGCTGCTGCTCAGGGCAGCCAGCGGAGTGGAGACAGGGTTAAAGTGGGGATTGTATTTAATCCTCTAAGCTGGCTTAGAGGAAGCCAACGTTGGATAGAGCAGGAGGTGAGACTTGCTGGGGGAGGGGAATGTTAGTGAATAATGGACCAGGGACCAGCAGGCAGGGCCTGCCAGTGGGCTTCATTGACAAGTCTGCCTTCTTGGACTCCCCGACGTCCCACGCCTGCCTCTGGGCCAGGCCTCCAAGCTGCGGCCCCCTCCACCAGGAGAGTCCCTGAGTCTCCGGGGTTCTCGGCGGTGGAGGCTGCCCTGAGTGCTCTCTGAGCAGTGCAGGTGCACCTGCTGTGGGACCTCAGGCAGCCACCTCGCCTCTCTGAGCCTGGGCTGCTCCCTCAGTTCCCCAGGGCTGGACACACCTTCCTGGTAGGCCTCCTGGGACACAAGGCTGCTTGCATTCCGATCCAGTGCTTAAGCAAACACAGGGGAGGTGCCAACTCAAGCCTCAGTGCCATTGTTACAAATGCCACATCCTCCCTCCCCTTACTCTTCTGTCCCAGCTGCTTGGGCTTTGGGCGCAATAACCTGAGTTACTGCAGCTGAACAGCATCAGTAATATTTCAGAACATGAAGCATCCTACCCACCACGGCGGCGGGCCACGGAGTCCTGCAGCCCCAAGTGTATCTGCCACAGTGTTTCCAAGTCCCGGAACCACAGCAGTGAGAAGCCCAGTGGACCCAAGAACAAGTAGAGGCAGGACGGCCCCTGGGCCATCACCTGTGCCCCTGGCCCCTTGCTCTGCCCACCAGTGGGCTGCCTCTCCCTCTTGGCATCTAGCTCCTCAGTTCTAAGAGCCAGCTGGGCAGCCTGGAAGGGCAGGATCTGGCCTTGGGGGCACAGTTGGACCGTCCCAAGGCCATGCCCAAGGCTAAGGCCAGGCTGTGAGCCCTCTGAAAAGTTCACACTTTTTCTCCCGGGTCCCCCAGCTGTCTGCCACCACCACCAGAATGTCTAGGATCAAACGCTCATCACTGAGGCCCTAAGTGAAGGGTCCCCCTTCCCCAGGCTTTCCAGGGGATTTGGGATAGGGCCGGGGAGGGCACTCTGGTCTCTCCAGGACCTGCTCCACTACTCCAACTACTTTCCTCTTAACACCTTCCTTCCCGCAACAGGGAAGCGCCAGGGAGCTCCACAACAAACCTGGGTCCCTGGACCAGGCCCACTACCCTGATTCACCACGGCGCCTGCCGAGAGGTCTCCCTGCCCAGGTCGCCAAGCCGGCCACCGCAGAACCTCTGGGATGGGCAGCGCAGGTCCCGCGGCGCGGCGTGCGTGCGAGCGGGACTGGCCTCCCGGGTTGGGCGGCCGAAGCCTGCAGGTGAGGCGCGGTTCCTCTCTTTCTTTCGGCGGCCCCCCACCCCACTGCTCGGCCCCAATCCTGGCCAGCGACGTTCCCCGCGGCGCGCTGCCCCGAGGGACGCCACGAGCGGTCCGCCCAGCACCGCTCGCCAGGGGTTAAAACTGCAGCATCCAAACAAGGGTTAAAAATGCAGTCCCCGGGCCGGGCCGGGAGCCGGAGGGACGCGGTCCAACCCCCCCAGGGCTGCCAGAGCCGCGTCCTCTTTTCGCCTCCGCAGTGCTGGGGGGCTGGAGCGACTCGAGCGACCCGGGAAGCGCGGAAGGCGCACCGCGCTGGGCCCTGGCCCCCAGCCCGCGCCCACACCCCCGCGCCCCCCGCAGCCCAGGCCGGGGGCTGCAGGCGCCGGCGGTCCCGGGCGGGCGGGCGAGCGACGCTTACCTTTGTGACAGTCATGCAGGAAGCGGGCGGCGGTGCGGGGGCGCGGTTGGCGGTGGCGGTGGCGGTGGCGGTGCGGGCGGCGGCGGGAAGGGTCCGGTGCGCTCCCTGCGCCCCGCCGGCGGCTGGGCCGAGCGGGCAGCGCGCAGGGACCGCTCGTCGGCGCTGATGTCAGCCCCGAATGTGCATTTATAATAAATGAGCCTCCTTCGCCGCAGGAAGGCGAGGCAGGAAGAAAGGGAGCGAGCGAGCGGGCCCGGGCTGGGGGCGGGGGAGGAGAGGGGCCGGGAACTCGCTACAAAGGCGGAGGCGGAGGGAGGAGGAGGAGGAGGAGGAAGCGCAGCCCGCCCGCTCGCCGCCGTGCCCCGCGCCTCCCAGCTCGACCGCCGGCCGCCGGCCACTGCCGCGCCCGGGGCTTGGGGCTGGAGCCTGGGCCCGTGGCCTTAACCCTTTCGGGCCCGCGGCTGCCACGCGCCTGGGCGAAGCTGGCTACTCGCACCTGCCGGTGCCCGCGGCCCGGGGACGCGTGCCAAGTAGCACGCGGGACAGCGCGGGCCCGCAAGACTGCGGGGCTCGCCCCCTGCCGGACGGGAGCCGCGGATCCCGGAGCCGCGGCCGCGCAGAACTGGGGCGCGAGTGGCCAGGCCGGCTTGCGTGAGCGCCCGTTTGCGTCCGGTGCCTGCAGCGAGTCGCTCGCCCGAAGGCCAGCGTGTGGCGCCGCTCTGGAAGCGGAGGCGGGGGGCGATACAGGTGCGCCCGGTGCGGGGATCCTTCCTAGCTTGGGTCACGCCCTATCTTGGAGCCTGGGTAAGAGTCTCAGCGATATCGCCCGAAGGCGACCTCTCCTCCTGAGAAAGGCATGCCCCTGGACCTGGGCAGAACCGCTGTGGACACAGAGTGGCGAGGGGCCTCTAGCGGAGATGGGGACCGGGAGGCGCCGGCCTCCTGCTCCTTGGCGAGGGACAGTGCGATTCATCCGCCAGGGATGACTGCAGGTGATGGGTGAGCACCTGCCCCGTGGAAAGCCTGGGGGGCTCAGGAGGTCGCAGGCCGGCCTCAAAGGAGACCCCTGTGTGAATTACAGCCACAGGAAGAGCGTGGCCGGCATCCTCGCCACTACCGGAAAGGCAATGAGCGGCATTAAGAAGCAATTGTCACCCTGCTTGGCAGGTGAGTTAAACAGTGGAGAGAGAGGGCCGCAGAGGGCTGCCCAAGACCACACCAGGTAGTGGTCTGGATTTGAACTCAGGGCACGTCTGTATCTGCTGCTGCGTTATCCAGCCTCACAGGGGCTTGGGAAGGAGCTAGGGCACTGGGGGTGCCCCGAGGAGCTCCAGGACTCACTAAACCCCTTGGGCAGCAGATGCACCAGGCCCCAGGCATCCCTTTTGCCCCAGACCCTTCCTAGGCTTGCTCCTCTGCTGGACCTGTGCCTTTGACGGGGTTGCTCTCCTGCCGGGAACGCCTGACTGCCTGTTCTGCACTAACCCCAACGCACCCCACTTCTCCCCAGGCAGCCCCACCCCAACAGTCTCCCCGCACGCACTGCATTTACTTCTGAGGGTCTGGGCTCATTTTCCTGAGTGTCCGTCGTGTGGGTAGTGAGCCGCCTAGCCTCCCCATACAAGGGCAGGCCTTCTGTTACTGTGAACCCTTGGGCACACAGCAGATGCTCACTTAATGTCGAATGCCACCAAGATCAAATCAGACCAAATCCACCTTCGTTCTGAAGCAGGAGTCGCGCTGGGGCCCCCGCGGGCACAGCCAGCAGAGCCTGGTTGGGTCGTCTCACAGGGAAGCCCCAGATCAGACTCAAGACCTTGCCCGGGCCCCCCAGCCTCCGATCCCATGGGAAGCCATCAAAGGGCACCCTCTTGCCCTGCACCCACAGCTGAGACCTGTCCACTTTGCTCTCCCACTGATACCGCAAGTCCCAGATGGTCATACTCAGCTCCCCAGCCCGCCTCCTGGCACCCTCCTCGCCATCCGCTGTTGCTGTGGGCTCTGGGAATGAGACAAACACTTAATATCAGCCTGAGCCAAAAGTAATTAGGGACATCAATCTGCTGCCCCAGTCCACGCCCACCCCTATATGCTGTGAAGGCAGAAAGAAAATGTTCCTGAACCTTCGGGAGTGGCCTGGCCCTGGCCAGAGGCCAGGTCTGCAAGAGCAGGGCCCCTCCCTGGCCTGGGCCACGGGAGAGGCTTCGAGATGAGTGTGTGTATACGGCACAGTCGCCCCACAGCACAGCACACCCTGGTTTACGTTCCTTGCAAAGCAGAGCGTGAGCAGAGAGTTGGAGGTCGGCGACTTAAGGCACTCCCAGGAGTGGAAGTGAGACCCAGACGGAGGAAAAGCCAGTAGAATAGTGTGTTCTCAAAGTCTCGGCTGGAAGCACCTAGGGAGGGGAGGGCTCCATCCCCTAGCCCTCTGAGCCCTGAGACCTCCGCTGAGCTGCAGGTGCAATCGGAGGGGTGGGGCTGCAGGATGGGTTTCAAATCCTGGAGCACTTGCAGCGTAGCCACGGGCTCCCCTGGGCGCGCCAGCGCCCTCTCCCCAGCCCCTGTGCCTTTTGCCCTTGGTCTCAGCAGGGGGAACCCCCACCCATCTTTGAGACCCCACTCACATGCCATTATCCCTACATGGCTCTCCTTACACCACCTCCTTGGTGGCCTGAGTCACATGTGTTATTAAATAGCATAATGAAATATATTTGCTCTTGCCTTTTTTTTTATGGATTGTGACCATATTTCTCTCTCTCTCTCTCTCTCTCTCTATCTCTTTAGCTTTTAAAATCTATTTTGTTTGAAAGACAGACATTTCCATTTGTTGGTTCTCCCCCCAAATGCCCATGACAGCATAGGACTGAGCCAGGCTGAAGGCCAGAGCTGGAAACTCTATCCGAGTCTCCCACGTGGGTAAGAGAAACCCATCTACTTGATGTGCCCCAGTGTGCACGGGAGCAGGCAGTGAGATCAGAAGCGCAGCCTGGATTCAAACCCAGACACTCCAGTGTGGGACCTGGCAACCCAAGTGGTTTGCTTAAGCGCTGCACCAAGCACCTGCGCCCCTCCCCCCTTTCAAATTTTTAACCCAGGGTCACACACACGAGGCGCCGCATAACTTCCTGAGGATCCAATAAGGCTGCCATGGGCACCAATAACTTCTGCCTTCAGAACCTTGGCTCAAGGCCCAGCCCAGGCACAGCGGCCTCTGGACGAGGGGCTGGGCCCTACCTGGCTTGTCCATGTATTCACCCAGGCCGTGGATGGGGTGCCACTGCACAGAATGAGAAGGGCTTGGTTCCGGCCCACACACGGCTTGTCATCTCCTAGGGGAGGCCCGCGGATGTCCCGCAGCCCTGGGGGCTGTATCTTCAAGCCCCTCCTTCACGGCCCCACTCTGCAAGCTTGTATGTGTGCAGGTGAGTGGGGGGGAGGGGCTGTGCGTATCCATGTGTATGTGCGCATGCGTGTGTGCAATGTCTGGACATGGACCACCAGGAAGGGAGGAGCTGCAGCAGTGAGGAGAGCTCCCGGCCAGCCTCCTCCGAAAGGTCTGCTGTCCCAGCATCCCCTGGGGTCACAAGAGCAGACAGGCAGGTCAGCCGGGGGACAGCAGATGGCCCGCCCTGGCAGAGGGCCCTCCCCGGAGGCTAATGGGCCTCAGGAGCGCCTTCTGCTTCTCTGTGGTTTGGTGGTTAGGATCCCGGCTTCCGGCTTCCGAGCCAGATACTGGGGTTAGAGTCCCGCCTCCCGCACTTAGCACCTGAGGGCTGGGGGCAGCTGTTTAACCTCCTGCAGATCTTCACAGCACAGGCCCTGGAGAGCTGTCACTAGACACGCATGGCAGACAGCAGACGGCGTGTGGGGCAGTGCAGCCACCCCGGAAATGCGCCTCTGATTACAAGTGCACAGTCAGCTCCCGCCGGCCAGTCCTCTACACTCTCCCAGGCCTCCTGAGGAACCAGCCAGGGTAGAAGGAGCAACTGTTACCATCCCCACTTCCCCCAAAGGGAACCTTGAGCCCCACGTGTGTCCAGGCTCACGGGAACACAGGCAATGATGGCCCAGGCCCCGTCTCCCTCCACCCTTGCTGCACTTTGCACAGCCCGGGGAATCTATTTGGGTCCACCCCCCCCCCCCGGCTTCTGAAGGCGACCCAGCCTCCAGGGAGCAGAGCCCTGTTGTCTGTCAACCCTTACCTCTCCTGTGCACCGTAGCCTGCAAACCCTAGGGCTCCTCAACAGTAGGGGGGAGGGGAGGGGATCGGGAGACCTGAGTCCAGCTCCAGCCGTGCTTACCAGGCCCCCAGAGCCCAGCCAGGCTGTGATCCACCGACTGCAGAGCCCGTTTACGGGGAGCATCTACTTCAGAATTCTGAGCTGGCACATGGAGAATGGAGAACGACACTGGGGGCCACCTGGAAGAAACAAGGCTGCCATTCTCAGCGCCTCCAGCAGGGGGCAGGCGTGACTCCCCCCAGCCCCCACCCCGTTAGAGCCCCTTGGGACTCTGGAGCTGCAGTCCCAGCCTTTGGGTAACTTTTGGAACTAAACCATGAGAACACCCAGCCAGGGAGTGTCAAACAAGGGGCCCCACCCCAGCAGCCGCGTCTCTGGGAGCTTGTCACACGGTGGATCCTCGCGCCCCACTGCAGGCCTCAGGGTCCAGAAAGGGGACTCGGAGCCCACCCTAGACCTGCAGCCCTTGCCCCATTGACATCTCAGGGAGGCGTGGCCACCATCTCAGCTGGACCACACAGGACAGACACCAGGCACCGTTTTACCTCCGGTCTCCCAGGCGACACGATTGAGTTGAAACCTGGGCTTCGATATGGGTACCAGACACTTATCAAGTCCTTCCCCCAAAGGAAGCGAGATGCGAGGCAGGACCCCAAAACAGCCGCCAGCAGGGATGGACACTTGGAAGGTTCCTGCTCTGGTTTAAACCCCTAGGCAGACAGCAGCTCCAGGTACCACCCTCGGTGACGCTGAACCTGAGGATGCCCCCAGTGGCGGGGAGGAAAAGGACCCTGCCCAGGATGGACAGAGATGATCTTCAACTTGGAAAGCAAGGCTGGGGCCCTGGAGACCCATCTACAGCCCAGCACCCCCTTCCCAGTGGATGCCCACTGTGCCCAGGTCCTGCTTGCTCCTGTCCCTCTGTGTCTCCCTCTCCCCCACCTCTACCCCCACATGCTCTCTCTTGTTTCAGAGGGACACCCCACCCCCACCTCCTCAGGGTCAAAAACCTCAGGCTCCCACCACTGATCCGCTAAGCTCCCTTCTTGTTGGCAAAACACGGACTTGGGGTCACACGGCTGCTAAGGCCTTTTCCCGCCCGAGGCGCTCTGGACCCCAAGGATGAGGCTGTCCACCTGGGGAACAGCTGCCCTTGGCGTGGGCACACCCCTGGGCAAGTATTTTTGTGCCTGGATGCAAATGTTTTGAAATGTGGTACAAAATTCTTGGCCCCTAGGAGGCATTGGGATTTATCAGTGAAGGTTTAGACAAACAGGGAGAGAAGAGGGGCTCGTAGATTTGTTTATGATCTGATAAGGGCATGGGAAGATTCCTTGTAGGCTCTGAGAATCATCCTTTCTTAGAAGATTGATTGATTTGAAAAGGCAGAGTGACAGAGAGAGAGAGAGAGAGAGACTCTTCCATCTGTTGGTTCACTCCCCAAATAGCTGCAACAGCCAGGGCTGGGCCAGACCAAAGCCAGGAGCCAGGAGCTTCTTCCAGGTCTCCCACGTGGGTGCAGGGGCCCAAGCACTTGGGCCATCTTCTACTGCTTTCCCAGGTGCATTAGCTGGGAGCTGGATCGGAAGTGGAGCAACCAGCACTCCCACAGGGGATGCCAGCATTGCAGGTGGTGGCTTAACTCACTGTGCCACAGCACCGGCTCCCTGAACAGCAGCTCTTCCTGTTCAGATCTAGGAACCATCTCTTTGTGGTCTCCGTGGTCAAGTCAAGTACACCTTTGCTGGCTGATTGCTTGTCTTCTGCTGTGAGAGAAGGCAACAGTGTTGCACTGATTCCCAGGGCCATGGCCCTCAGGGACCTGTTTATATTAAAGCCACGTGGAGCTTCTTATCCTTGTTTTCTTGTTGGGGCTCAGCACACACCACCCCAAAACATGACTTCAGGAGCCGCCGGCCCCTCCTCCTTCACGCTGGGCTCAGGCCTGTGCTAGCGAGCAGCCTCTGCGCATGCGCGCGTCGTGTAGTTGCACACCTGTCCTTTTGGGAAGCTGGGTGTTAGAGGTGATTCCGGCAGAGTCACCGAGGGGAGCGGCAGAGGGGGCGGAAGTCCCCGGTCCCCGTCGTGTTTATCCCTGGGAGCACACTTCCCGAGCTCTCCTGCGGAGAGGCCTCGGCAGCTGCGGGCCAGCCGGCTGTACCTCTTCTCCCTCTTTCTTCCTGGGGAGGCTCAGAAAATGACGCCCCAGGGTATGGCCCTGGGATGTGCAGCCTCCATCCGGGTCTCCTACGGGCGTGGCAGGAGCCCAAACACTTGGGCCATCTTTCCCAGGCGCATCAGCGGAGATCTGAATCAGAAGTGGAGCAGCCGGGACTTGAACCAGTGCCCATGTGGGATGCCGGTGCTGCAGGCAGAGGCTTGACTGCACCACAGCGCCACATGCATGTCGTCCAGGCCCCTCTGCCTTTGTGCTGATATCTGGACCACCTTTCTCTCCTGAAGCGCAGGAACGGGCTTCCTATGATGTTCCTGTATCCAAGACTGGGCTGGCCAAAGACGAGCACAAACGTCTTCAACCTCTTACATTAATGGGGGAAGATTAAACTCACATCACAGAGGAAGCGCCGCTCCCGGAGCCCAGAGGACTTTGTCCCAGAGCATCCTCCGTTGTTCCAGCGCCCTGCATCTTTGGCAGAGATGATTTCTCTGCACTGGAAGTGCCTGCGGTCATGTTGCCCTGTCCCCCATGAAGTGGGGGTGTAGAAAAGCCTCAACCGTCTGGCCTTTCTTTGCAGTGCCTGTTCTGTGTGGCTCCAGGCACATGCACATGCCAGTTGGTCTGTATGCTTTCCCCAGCCCCATGTGTTCATGTCTATTGTCAGTTCATTTCTGCAGACCCAGTTATGGAGCCTGTGAACGGAATCACTGAGTTCCAAAAGGCTAAAATGCTGAGCTTCAGCCTGGTCCAGCCTTAGGTGTTGCAGACGTTTGGAGAGTGAACTGCCACATGAGGGCGCTCTCTCTCTCACTACCCTTCCTGCTCTGTGTGTGTGTGTGTGTGTGTGTCAAATAAAAACAAAAACCAAAAGCAAAACATGAAACAAAGACAGGCCAGCCATCATAGCTGCCTTGCCCCGCCAGTTCTAGAACATTCCCTGCTCAGCTCCATTGTCTTCACAGAAAGACAGAGCTCCACGGCGCTGGGTCTCCATTCTACAGATGGGTGCGCCCAAGTCACTCCACGATTCAACTCTGGGGCTGCCTGGCTTCCACTAGGCTCCTCCTGCTGCACCACGGGGGTCCTCTGACTGGATACAGAACCTTCCTTGCCCCTCAGGGACACTGCCTGCTTCCCTCAGCACAGCTGGGAAGTTCCTGGCTTCTGGAATCTTCCCTGGACTCCAGGGGAGGACAAAAACAGCTTGTATACTGCATCTTTCCCAGGCGGGGCCCCCCAGGCAGGGCCTCCGGCCAGCCCACCTGGGCACCTTGCTCATTCCCAGG